GTAGAGATTATATAGCATTTACCGGAAATCACAAAGCGCTATAACTAATGTAAACCCCCATAGGATGTAATGAAGTCCCACTTGCACGAAGGCATTACTGCGTCAGCGATAATCCGCCATTACGGCAAATTATATTATCAAATTATAGATGATGAGGACTGATATATTAGACCCACCCTTAATCTATAATTTGACTTTGTTTATATATATATATATACATCGTGTGTATATATAGGAACGGAGGCGGAAACATCCTTGACAACCTGTTGATGAGGATGGAGCAATACGCCACCGACCTGGAGGCGCTGGTCGAGGAGAGGACTGATGCCTTCCTCGAGGAGAAGCGGAGAGCAGAGACTCTTCTCTACCAGATTCTTCCCCGGTATAATCACTACTATAAGCTCACAGTGATATGACTACAGTGAAAGTGAAATTGTCGTTAACTATTGCAATAAGCGCACAGCGATGTGACTACGGTGAACGTGAAACCGTTGTTAACTATTGCAATAAGCGCACAGCGATNCACACACACACACACACACACACACACACACACACACAGAAAACCTTTCTGCGACATCAGGAGTTTCTTGACAGCGGGCGACTTTCTTGCGGTCGGTATCTTGTCGATGCTTAATATCATATTATATTTTTACTATTTTTTAATATCATTTATATCATATTATTATTTTTTACATTGCTATTGTTTTTTCGTGTTGTGACGTTACACCGCGCTTGGTGCAAAAATTTCGCACTATTTTAATATTTTTGAACGTGGAATGTGAAAAAAATGAAATAGTTNACACCCTTGGCAGGCGTGGGCGAGCCTGCGATACCTGCGGGTCAAAAACGCAACATTTCGCGTACGCCACTATCGCTGCACCCTGTCACCCCCCGCCCAGCCAACGTGACGTCACCGCTCCGTACCATGACGTCACCTCCCTACACCCCCTAATTGCAGGGATACTCGAGATGGTGACGGACGTGCAGCAGCCGCCGTACAGACCCCTGGTGTCGCCGGATGAGTGTCTGGCGGAGTTGTACGGCCTCATGCAGGAGGCGTGGCACGAGGCGGCCACCATGCGGCCCACCTTCCCCGCAGTGAAGAGACTCATGCGCAGCATCAACAAGTACGTTTAATGGTTTCATAGTTCGATCTTCGATCCGGCTGATCCGATATCGCCGTATCGATTGTGTGCGTGTGCGTGTCGCATCACGAATCGCTTCGTTGCAGATGTTGATGGTTATATATAATATATATCAAGAGTAGATAATAACATGTTAATGATATAACATGATAATAACATGATATAATGATAACATGATAATAACATGATAATAATGATATAACATGATAATAACATGTTATTATCTACTCTTGATATATATATATATTTATTTATTTATTTATTCATTTATTTATTCATAATTTATATTTTTTTATATATTTATGTATGATTATTGACGTAAGTAAGCTGCCGGAAACGAGTAGAGATTATATAGCATTTACCGGAAATCACAAAGCGCTATAACTAATGTAAACCCCCATAGATGTAATGAAGTCCACTT